TATAGCAGTTCTTTCTGGAAATACTCATAAATGACTCATGAAATATCTAAAAACTAAGAAAGCAATTTAGAACTCAGTTACAGAGTATTTGAAATGTATTTGAAATATTCTTTAAAAAGTGCTATAGCAATGAAGAAAATAGACGGTTAAGGGTGGGATCAGAAACTGCATAAGCCTAATGCTTCAAAGAAAGTTTAAGAGCAGATGGGAACTTTGATGTTGTTGGTTTTCTTTTATGAAACAGAAAGGTCATTATCTAGGTTTAGTATAATAATTATATTGCACTGTCTAAAATTTTTTTGTAGGAATTTTTTTTATTACAGACTTGGATAACATTATAAAATCGTTCTACTTCTCCTGAAAATACACTTATTGTAATTAATTTGTCTGAGAAAAGTATTAGCCATAAACAACGGAACTGACACTTAGATGTACACAGTGTTAGAAAAATAGGGGATTAGACCTCAAAGTAAACAAAAACATTCTACTAAACTATAAAAAGTATGGTAATTCAAAATATCTAATAGAAAGAGCGTACAAAAATTAGTTCTGTTTTTTTGGCTTCTAAAAAAATCGGTTTTCAATTGAAGAAAAGCTACCTTAATTGTTAATGATATTCTTAATTTTTTGTAAGCAGTTCATCTGTTAGCAGTTCTGAATATAAGAGTCATTTGGAAAGACCGGATGTAATAAAATTTCTGAATCAACAACAGAAGCACTTAAACCTTGTACACTTAGCTGTACAAAACTTTTGACCTCTTCAACAAAAAAAAGCACCTTAAAAGTTATTTTGTTTAATTTTACATTTTTAGGTTAAGTACACTCAAAATTTTTTAAATCAGTCATTATACTACGATTTTCCTGGTTGGAAAAGACAGTCACTGTTTTTTTTTTGTCAAAATTGTGGAAATATATATATATATTGTTGCGAGAAGTTTATATCGCCGATTGTTAGACCCTATTTTCGGCAAGTAAGTGTTCTTTGAACAAGGGCTGTAGTTCAACGTAAAAGCCAGATCAATGAACTATTTTTGCTTTGATGTCTTGTAATAAAATTGCAAAGAGCTTTTACGTGCTTCAAATGACTCATTTTTTACTTATTTTAGAGGTTATAATCTTGACTATCTGCACCGATGTGTCTTCCTTATTTGTGCTAAATTCTTTCTGATTTGGGCTTAATTACTTTTTCTGCAGCTGCAGATACAGTAGACTAAAGCATTTCATTACATCTAGCAAAGCCTATATAAAGTAGCTTGTTTTTTCAACTTTTTAATAAATTATTACTTTTAAAATTAAAAATTCACTATTTTTCTAGCTGCTTTTTAGGTGAAAAAAATAAATTATTGAAAACTGTAGTAAATTTTGTACATAAAACATTTATGTTAAGAAGGTTTTACATTTAGACGTGTAATATGTAAAACCTTTAGCTTTAAAAAGTGCTATACAATTCCAAGAAAACAAAAAAAGATGCTCACCTAAATTCAGGTGGAACGCTACTGGTTAGGTTTTTTTATCTTATTAAGAGTTTTGCTGTACACAGTGATGACTACTTTTATCTCATTTAGTATTTAAAATCTGAGGTTTTACTTCTTATCATAGTGAATAAATAAGCTTTAAGAACTGATAGAAATGCATTTATAAATGAAAGAGTCAAATTAAATAACGGAAGAATGAGAGAAAATGCCAAACAAGCACTTCCATCAACTTACAAAGGCCAGAAAGTGTCAGTTGTTCTTTGGAAGCTTATTCTTATACTTCTAACTAACTTACCAGTTCTACTATTTTCAACAGCATTAACGATTTTGAGCTCCTGTATTAAACGTGCATAAGCTAAGAGAAAAACCTATTCATATGTTGAGTGAAAAGTGAGTAGCTTTTTAATTTCTGCTTCTTCAAGCACTAAATTACGTATTTCAACAAAAAAAATCACAATTTGAATGAGTTCTGCAAATGCGGAAGCTTTTCCTTTATATTTAATGTTTAGAATTAGCTTTTCAGTGATTGCTAAAGAAAGTTATTTGTTTGCAGAACCAAAAATATTCTGGCAGATATAAAAATATTAGTAAGCACAAAATGTCACAGTACCTGGAGAGACGGAATAAGTGTCGGGAATAGAGCTGCTGGTGTGGTTTCTTGGTTATAGGTGTAACGATATGCTGTTGTCGTTGGACTAGTCTAGACATAGAACAGTTCAAGTATTAAATAATCGTCAAAATTTGCTCAGTTAAAATCAAACAACAAAATATGTTTTTGGAACTTCTGCCTCGCTTTGAGCGACCTACCGTCGTTGTCGTTTCGCTTTCACTGGAATCTACATCTGGAGAGCCAGTGGAACCAGAATAACGGTATGGGAATCCAGGCACACGTATACCAGACTCCCAAACATCCCCAGATGATGAGGACGATGAGGATGATGGTGATGAGGAAGATGACGAATACGTCGATAATGATGTCGATGCCGGACGTGAACGTGTTTGATAAGGTGACGGAAACGGGTTACCATAAGGGTAAAATGATCTTGGGAATTGAGAAAACGTTGGTACTGACCACATATTGTTAAAGTAATTGTTTGCTGTATTAACTAATCGTCCCCACATGTCCAGATTATACTTAAATTTGAAATTAATTGACTAGAAAAACTACAGACTACAAAATTAATAAAAAATTTATTTTTCTAATACCAAAGACCAATTTCTTTTCAGTTGCAGAAAACTTTTTTCTCAACATGACTAATTAAAGAAGAAAATAATAAGAAGAACAAGTTTTAAGTCATCTGGTTGAAGTTTACTAATACTGGTTAATTGTTCAAATGATGTAAAATAGGCTTTGATACGCGTTTCAAGTTCACGTTTAGGAGTACTGATCAGTTGCGTTTGTTTTGTTTTTGTATAATGAAATTGGAATTAGACTTACAGTAAATGTATTTTCTACAGTATCTCCTCAGTAGTTTAATTCTTATATATATGTTTTTTTTAATATATATTTAAATATAAATTTCTTACATTTTCGTGCGAAAAAGTTGAAATTGTTTTAGAGATTGTAGTTAAAGCTTGATTAGATCAGAAAACCGCAAATTTGTGACAATTTCATTCTGTTACAGTTTATAAATTGCAATCTTAATAACTGAGAATCACTGTGTTATATTGAAGACAATAAAAAAAAAAAAACTGTTGCATTATTTACAGATCAAATCTTCCAACAGCTTCAAGATTTTACCGAAAAAAAAAAGTAGGTAGTTAATGTAAAGTAATTTTCAAATTCACTGTCTTCTGAGCAGTACAATTTGGTTGTATTATTACTGCAGAAAACAAGAATTTGCTTTTGTTTTATCATTACAGTTTGTCTAATGAAGCGAATCGATTTTATCATTCTTTTTCTTTTCATGACAGATTTCTATCATCAAAATATAAGTTGCGGTCTTTTTACCGATACTTCAACAATCTCATCAGGTGGACAAAAGAACAGATTCTTTTTGTTGATACCTGCTGAATAGTGATATCTTACAAACCAACACTTACAAATGAATATAGTTTTGTGTTGATTCTTTTCAAATGTTTCAACAAAATTTTTGCTCATTTTATTTCAATTTTATTAATAAATTTAGCATATAAAAATCAATTTGTTACAAAAAAAAAAAAATAATAATTTTTCTTTCTCAAATAAAAAATAGTGGAGTACTATTTTAAACAATTATTTATTGCCAAAAAAAATTACTTCCAAAATATTTTCCTCTTTTTTTTTTTTTTCTTTCGTTTGCTTATCTAACAAATTTTTACTCTTTTTTTTTTTGGTTTAATAAACAGTAACAATAAATTTAATTTTATTTATTTAAATTATCAATTTTATTTGAAGAAACAGTATATTGTAAGTTGAAAGAAAAAGAAAAAAAAAACAAGTTCTTGTTAGGTGAACTTCAAAAGTGGCTATTACTCAAATGGCAACTGTACAGAAAATGTTTGCTGGAAAAGAAAGCTTCAAAAATTGTTCTGCTTGTTGTTTATACAAAATTTTTACTTCAGAAAGTATCACTCTTTTGTTTTTTTGGAGAGGATAGGAGGGAATGAAGAAGTAAAATTTGAATACAAATTACGACAGATTGTTGATGATAATTTTACACTGATTATACTGTTTAACACTTTTGGTAACACTTCAACAGTAACATACCATTGGAAATCCAACAGGCATTCCTCCAAAGAATTGCGCCGATACTGAAAAATAATGACAAGAATTATTTGGTAATACTGTTCAAAGAACAGCAAATTTTTTGGTGAA